ACTGGGCTACACTAAACTAAATCCTGCTTCTCCAAGCTTCAAAGTATTTTACCTGAGGATTTAAGACCCCGCTGAAGTTAATTTGGTCCAGGTTGGATAAGGACTATTTGGATGGCAGCTTGGATTCTGCCACAGTGATTCTAGAGTTAATGTATTTGAAGGACTTTTTTTTGACAGTACTGTGCGTTTGTGCATCATGCTCCAGCCCGAGAAACTTCTTAGAATGACTTAAGAATGACTTAACGCTTCACATGTACTCTTCAGGAGAGCTCTTTTTTTTTTTTTTTTTGGTCCGGTCATGGGGCCTGAACTCTCTGGGCGCTGTTCCTCAGCTCTTCAGCTCAAGGCTAGCGCTCTGCCACTTGAGCCACAGCGCCACTTCTGGCTTTTTTTTCTTTTTGCTTATGTGGTGCTGAGGAATCGAACCCAGGACCTCAGGCATGCAAGGCAAGCGCTCTACCACTGAGCCACCTTCCCAGCCCCTTCAGGAAAGCTCTTAATAAGCTTGATGAGAGGGTTGTGTTGAGCTGGAGTGCCACTCTCTTATCTGAATTCTTTAGTTGACAGTAACATGCTACAGACAATGGTTTCTCTAGACACTGACATGTCCCTCTGAGTGCAAAGATGTGTTGACAGAACAACTTTTATATTCAAACTGCCTATGAGAAAAGTGGTCAAGTAGCTGGGTGCTGGTGGTTCACACTTGTAATCCTAACTACCCAGGAGGCTGTGATCCAGAGGATCAACATTCAAACCCAGCCTTGGCAGAAAAGCAAGACTCCCATCTCCAATTAATATCATAAAGCCAAACTGGAGGTATGGCTCGACTAGTAGAGCACCAGCTGAGAGAAAACAAGTAGAATGAACATGAGCCCCTGAGTTTAAATCAGTACCAACTAAAGTAGCTGTCAGGAGATAAAGAAAATAATAGCTATTGTGTCATCAGCAATATTAAGTAGAACCAGTGATTTTTTTTTCTTAATGGTTCATGCCCCTGAGAAAATTTGCAGTGAAGAAGCTGAGGGCAGTAAAGTCCATGAGATTATTATTTCCAATTAACCATCATAAAAGCAGAAGTGGAGCTGTAGGTTAAGTTGTAGAGCTTCAGCTGTGAGGAAAAAGCTAAGTGACAGTGACCAGGTCCTGAATTTAAGCCCTGTACCCACATGCACGCACACACACACTTTTTAAGACTACTTGCTCATTGTCCAAAAATAACTACTCTTTAGCTGACTTACGTATCTGTAGTCCCTATGCATATCAGCTTTATAATAGTACAAAAAGATTTAAGACCACTTACTAAAGCAGATTATGGGTCATTACATTTTATTTTTCCTTTTGAAACAAGGCCCCAAGGTGGTCTCCAGATCACTATGTAGCCCAAGTCTCAAACTTGCCATTCCCTTAATTCAACCTCCAGGGTGCTAGAATTAGACATGTACCACCATATTCGGCTTGTGTGTGTGTGTGTGTGCGCACGCATGCAAGTGCAGATGTATGCACGTCCACGTGCTCTGGTACCAGGCCTTGAACTGAACCTCAAGTCTTGCTCAGCTTTTTTTGCTCAGGGCTGGTGCTCTACCACTTGACCATGCCTCCAGTCCAGCATCTTGCTGGTTAATTGGAGAGGGAGTCTTGCAGACACTTTACCCCAGGTAGCAGAACTGTGATCCTCCGGGACTCAGCCTTCTTACGGCTAGGATTACAGGTGTGAGCCTCTGGCACTTTGGCCCCTCTTTATCAGTTCCTTTCTTTGTGGTATTAAGTTTTCCCTCTGTGCTGGGGTCCTCGTCCGACCTGCAACTCAGTCCTCTCCAAACTCAATGGCCACTTGTTGATAAGAATTGCATGGGGCAGAATTGGGGTAAACTGTGACAGGGCAAGAGAGATGTTTGGGCCTAACTGCCAAGCCTAGTGAGGTGTGAGACCATTAAACTATGGGACACATTCTCAATGGGTACCATCAATGCATGGGGAAGTGAGATGGGATGGGTGTGAAGGTGGCCTCTGCCGGTGCTGCCCAGCCCAGAGCTGAATAATCCAGCATTTGGGATCTTTGAAAGCAAGTTGTTGAAAAACTTGCCAACAGACAAGGCCAGCTGGTTTTGCTTCTCTTTCATTGTCTTGGTACCTCCTGCCCTTTTGCATGTCTTTGGCAAGTACTTTGAAAACGGGCACTTCGGGGCTAAATTTGAAATTCTCCTCCATGGGTTAAGTCTGAAGGGCAGGTCCATTATCACTTTTCCCCTCCCATGTCCCCCTGAGAGCCACAAGCAAGCCTGCTGGTTTGCCTTTAAAGACAGGCTGTTTTTCCTCTGTCCATTTGCCATAGACCTCTCAGCCAGGGAATGAACAGCTTTCAGTAACCATGGTTTGTTTTTACCTCTGAGAGGGCGGTGATTTCCAGTCCTAAAGTGGGGGAGAGAGGAGATGACACATAGGTACAGGGTTTGTTTTAATGACCACATGAAGGGGCACCTGGCCCTGTCCAAACTCAAAATGCCACCATGTAGCAGTAGAGAACAGCTGGGCATCCACACACTAAGAAACTGAAAGCAAAATCAGCATCACTGAGATTAGAAATGAGAAAATCAGGAGAGGGGGCAAGATGTCAGTGAGGAACACTGTGATATGGAAAGAATCCCATCAGCTCACCATCTACTACACTATGGAGTCTCCCCAAAACCCTAACCTGACCATCTCACAGTCAAAGCTGTGCTGCTCAGGCTGCCTTCCAACTCCGGGGCCCTAGTGATCCACTTCAGCCTATGAAACTGGTACTATAGCACACACCACCGCACCCAACTATAGCTCCCCAAGAATACACGGACTTTTTCAGTAGCCTCTTCTGGATGACCCCACAGGTCTAGGGGCTAAGGTTATAAATAACAAAACCACTATTCGCCTTCTCACAGCGCACTGGTACCATGCCAGGTGCACGTACACCTGCTCACCATCCAAGCTGATCCTGAACACCTAAGACAAAGCTTCCCATGAGGGGTGAGGTACCTCCCCCTGAACTGCAGACCACATTGTCCTCCCCCGCCCCACATAAAAATAACTCCCTGACTAAGGTGAAGCACAGCTGACACGCCCCTCTAGTTGTGTGTGCAGGAGTCCCTGGCACAGGGCCTCACCCCCACTCCACAGTTGTGTCTGGAGGAGGTGGGCCTGAGCATCTTGTTTCCAACCAGCTTCCAGATGAAGCAGATGCTGCTGGCAGGGGCTACACCAGAGTTCCACAGACACAGTTCAGCTTCTCCTGAAGAGGTTCATGGGCAGAGGTTGCCTCCTCAGTGGCTTCCCGGGACTGTGGACTGTTCTGTCCCCAAGTCCTTCAGATTAGACAGAACAGACACTCTGGGGGAGGGAGGAAAGAAGACACTAACACACACGCCAGGATCTTGTTAGCTGGATATATTTGATTTTTGTTTTTTTTTTTTTCTTTTTTTTTTCCTTTTTTTTTTCTTTTTGTCACAGAACACTGTTTGCAGTAGAGGAAACTGGCATTGCAGTCTGGTGGTATAATAATGGCTTGTTCACATAAACCAGTACATGTTCATCCTTTAGCGCAAAAAGCCCTAATGGCGCATACCCTATTTTAAAACTCAGGATGTCTCCAATATTTTCTCTCTCTGTTTTTGACATTTTTTAAAAAATAAACATTTTCAAGGTTTGTCCAAAAGAAGGCCATATAGGTTCTTGGCTAGCGGAAGACAATCAGAACAGTTGTTGCACACTTGGACTGTCGCCTTCTCTAGGCTGGCAGTTGATTTTTTTTTCCAACTCATTTTTATTAAAAAAATAAAAAAATGCTCCAACTATCAGTTTTACAAAATCTCTAAGGGAAACACAAGAGCAAGGTGCTGAGGTAAACAAACACCTGAGGTAGCTTTTTTTTTGTGTGTTTTTCTCGTTAAAAAAAATCTGTAAATTTAACGCCCTGGGCCAACAACCTTGTGTACATTGCAATTTTCTTCCTCTTTTTTCCCCCCCTAAATAATCATTTCTCTTGAACATTAATGGCTTATACACCAAAATGTAAAAAAGACAAAAATACATTCTTTATGGAATTTTTGTTTGGTTGGCTGGTTGGTTTGGTGGGTTCCTGTTTTCCTCTTCCAAAATGCTAGGACAAGTACCATTGACTCTTGTTCTTTTGAGTAACCAAGTGTAAGATGAGGCTGGTTTGTGTGTTGCACGTTTGTTCCTTTTGTGTGATGTGATACTCAGAGCACTGCTTTGCCTGGGGAGGGAGGGGGGTGCGTAGATACAGGGAACTGAGAGGGAGGGAGGAGGGGGTTCAAAAGAATGGGGGTGGGAAAGGAGCAGGAGAGCGGGAGGGAAGGAGATAAACAGAGAGAGACAGAATTATATAGCAGTATGCAAAAAACCAGTTTAAAACCTGTGAAGCAAAGAGAAATGGGGGTGAGCTGGTCAGGGCTGGAGAGGGGGCAGGGTCCCCGCTTCCAGAGACGGTATCCCTTCTGTTGACAGACACAGGTGATCCCGAACTGCCCTCGAGTGTCCTTCGACAAGATTTCCCTCTGGGTGAATTTTGTGTGGGTGGCCTCGAAGCTCCTTCCTACACCATTAGACCTCCCAAAGAAAGACTTGATTCTTCCAAGTCTACAACAGCCTTTCTTTTCCAAAAGAAACACAAAATTAATCATCGAGTAAGAATGGGAGTTAGTTATCTGATATATTATTTCTAAAATATATTAATGCTGCAGGCACCCTGTGAACCCCACAGGCCACGTCTGAACCCCTTTCCCCTTCTAATATGTACACACATGTACAGAGCTGACTTTCCACAACCAAGAAAAGGGTAGGAATTTTGCTTTGCTTTGAACATGTTCACCTATATTAGTTCAACTGGAAGGGATAGCGTCGTGGGAGTTAGGGAAGAGATCTGAGTGGGTGGTGGTGGGGGCTGGGAAGCCCGGGGAGCAGGTGGGCCTGGCTGGTGGTGCTGGGGAACTCGGCCTCGCCCCCCTCCCCCGCCCTCCTCAGCCCCCGGGGCTCCCAGGGCCGGGTGGGCTGGGGCTGCCTTGGCAGACTTGTCATTGCTCAGGATGGTCTTTGGTTTGCTCCCGATTGCTGGCTGTGTTTGGTCTGTGTGTCAGGTGTTGGGTGGGCTACATTCATCCGTTGTTTGCTGGTGCCTGGGGAGCCTCACTTGCTGCGCTGGGAGGCCACGCCCTGAGGGTATTTCTGCTCCTGCTGCTTCACTTGTTGTACGATTTCCCTGATCTTGCGCTGTGCAGTCTGCAGCAAGGGAGAAAGGGGATGGGAAGCAAGCCAGTTCTGAGAACAGGAAGGAGGTGGGGAGGCTCTGGACTCGGGCATGGGTACTGCAGGACCTCTTCTACCTGGCAGTAAGTAACAGTAACAGTGACTCTGACTCTCTCCCCCCACCCCCCAATCGAGGGAGTTGGGTGCAGGGTAAAGGGATGGGGGGGGGTCAGCAGCTTCCAGCACAGCGACTGGGGGCCCTGTGGAGGTCAGATGGCCTGGTCCCACTGCACACACCTTTCTAGACAGCTGGGAAGAATTATGAGTGTGGAGGGACAGGCAGTGGGAGAGGGAAGGAAGGAGAAGCCCAGCCTGGATACAATCTGGATCAGCTGACCCTCACCTACCCGGCCAGTGCTTTGGCAGTTTGTTCTCTACGCTGAGGTCCCTGATGGTTGTGGCCAGGGGATCTGACTGCGGGAAGCTCAACTGGGATCTCAAAGGGCACTGGGTTGGGGGGCGGGAGGGCAGCTGGGAAAGCCAGCTGACCCTGGCCTGCCTGTCTATGGCTTAGGACTGGGACTACTTTCTCCCAAAACCTGATCCGCAGAAGCACCTGTGAGAACTGGGCCAAACTCTACCTGTGGGACTGAAGAGAAGCAACTGTGGAGGAGCCCTGGTCGTTTTGTGCCACTGGCATGCAGGCTTGTCTGGACTGTGGCTGGGCCTGGGCCTGGGCAGGGAGGCTGAGAGGTGCCCTGGCCCATTTCAGGGAGGGTCTTGCCTCAACAGCTTATGCCCTCTGTGGGCTCTGCTAACATGCCTGGGGGGAAAATGAAGAGTCGGGAGCAGCAGGGAGGCCGTCCTCCGTGTGTGGGGATGTGGCTGCCTGATGACCACTTAGCAGAGAACTGGGACTAAGCGGAGAATGGGAAAGGGACTGGCAGGAGCCGGGGCCTCCTCAAGCACTGTACCTGGCTAGCGAAGAAATGTCCAATAATCCTGACGACCACTTCCTCATTCTCATCTGGCGTCTGGTCACGAGGCACGATGACCTCAGCGCTGGTTAAGTTCTGCAGTTCATTCACCTGTGAGGGGAGACGGTGTGGACCTGGTGGTCCCTTCCCAACCACTGCCCACGGTGGACCCCGGAGGGAGGGGACAGGAGCAGCCAGGAGGCTGGGGGTATCTCTCCTTTCCTTCACGCAGCCCTTCCCAGCCCCAGCCCCATGACACAAGTGGAGGTTTGCCCCCTACACCCTCGGAGGCTGGCCCTGACCGCAGGACATTGCTTTTCTGTCTGGGGCTCCAATCCTGACACTTCATCTGCACAGCTCTGAACACAAGTCACTCCACCACCCAGCCACCCAAAACGCCAAGTAAGAAAGCTGTTCAGCTCAGTGATGGAGGCTCACACCTGCAATCTTAGCTATTCTGGAGGCTGAGATCTAAGGACTGTGGTTGGAAGCCAGCTGGGGAAAAGACATCCACAAGAGTGACAAGGCTGAGTGAGAGCAGGAGGCCCTGAATTCAATCCCCGCCCCCCAATACACAAAAAAGAGGGCACTGCTGCACGAGCTCTCCGCTTGCTGACACTGAACCGTGGCCACCTCTTGCTGACTCACCAAAGTAAACTCATTTTCTCACTCCTGCTGCTAGCTCTTACTTAGGCTGCTCCTGGTGCTGGGTTGCTCTCCTTCCCCCTCCACAGATACCCACAATGCCCTCCCTGGGAAGCATGGGAAAGCCTCATCTCCACTGTACAAATCCACTCCCTGCCTTCTGCTAAGCTTTCTGACCCCTTGCCCTCTGCTCTGACTCCTGGCAGCCGCTGTCTGGCGCTGCAAACGGGTTCCGGGGACAGATGACAGTTACGTGGGGAGGCAGAGGATTCAGTGACTAGTTCTAAAATAACCCAATAGGACAAGTAAGGCCCAGAAGCATCCTCGCTGCTGGACTGTTTGCTTTCTTCCACCTCCTGCTTTCTAGTTCTGCTGAGCACTCAGTGTATGCCTGGGATGTGGGCTGCCTTCCTGGCTCCAGGAGAGGGAACACTCTATATTCCAAGCCATTATATTTACCTGCATTAACCATGACTCATTGAGTTGCTTCCCCCCCCCCCACACACACACTCTGCCAAGTACACCAGGCTCTACTGGGAGGGCCTTGGGGTCAGCGCCTCACCAGCTCATGCTACAGAGCTCTTGCTACAGGTCCCTTCCTTCAGGCTCCAAAGCAAATGCTCCGGTACTTCTTTGTTTCCCTCTTGGATGGTTCAAGATTGAATCTGGGTCCTCATAATGCTAAGTACATGATCTACTACTGATTTACACACCCAGCACTAGCAATGTTCAAATTGCACTGTGTTACTGCCACATTCACATTGAAAACATCATCTGGGTGCTGATGGCTCACACCTGTAATCCTAGTACTCAGGAGGCTGAGGTCTAAGATTCAAAGCCAGGCCAGGCGGAAAGGCCGTGAGACTCTGATCTCCAGTAAACCACTCAGAAAACTGGAAGTGATGCTGTGGCTCAAGTGGTAGAGCACTAGCCTTGAGCTGAAGAGCTGAGGGACAGCGCCCAGGCCCAGAGTTGAAGCCCCAGGACCAACAACAACAACAACAAAAAATCCCAACTGTAACCTCTCTGTACATCACCTTTATAATAACAATTAAAAATTTAAAAATCCCTTCTCATCCACCCTGTTGCTGAGCTAGCTTCCCTACAGCACATGGCCAGGCTTAGGGACAGAACGAGAAAATGGGATCTGAAGGAAGGGGCGTGAGTGAGGAGGGCGGAAGGCGTCTGAGCAAAGTAGAGCCCCACATTCTCAGCGTGGGCTCCAGAGACACGGGGCTTGCTGAGTGGCTGGTAGATGCTGAGTGGGATACAGGGGGCTGTAACAGCCTATCTTCGGGAAGTTAAGTTGGGATGGGTGGTGCTGGGCACAGGCACCTGGTGATTTTGGGTGCTGGGCTTGGCACTGTGGAACGGTGCCTTCCGTTCTAGGAGGTGCTAATTTCCTTTCTATGTTTGAGATCTTGCCTCAGGGGACTCAGATGCCAGGCCAGTCTGGGAGCCGCAGGCTCTGCGCTTATGCTGAGAGAGAAAGAGCAGCGGGAACTTCAGAACTCAGGCAAGGCATCAGCCAGGCAGTGAAGGGAGTCCAGAGCTAACTTACGGTTTTGCCACCTTTGCCAATCACCCGGCCAGCTGTAGAAGACGGCACTCGGATATGGGCTTCCAGCTTCACCTCTTCTTTGGGGTTAAAGAAGTTTTCTTCTTTCAGTTTCCCAAAGATCCTTCCCTGGGCCTAATAACAAAATGAGACTATGGACCAAGACAACTGCAGACTGTACTTGGTGCTGAGTGCGGCAGAAGGGAGCAGCCCGCCTGGAGACACCCCATCTCCCATCCCAGGCCAGGCCCAGGGGGTGCTGTGCCCGCCACATCAAATCATGTGACTTTACAACCTGTGCACGGAGTGTGCTGTGTCCCAGTGGGGGTACTGGCCAGGGTCCAGACTCCATCTTACTTCCGCATCCCTGGAAATGTTTGGTCAACTGAATTTGTTCAGGAATTTTTCATTCCCTCCTGCTAGTCCTTTGGTTGTTAAAGGATTGGGGTGTGGGGTTACTGGCAGGATTCAATGAATGTGAATATGAGCTTGTTGGGTTGTGTGTGTGTGTGTGTGTGTTGGGGATCCAATCTAAGGCCTTATAAATGCTAACCGAATTCACCATTTCGAAGTATATTTGAATGGTCAGTTGTGGGACCACCACCCACTATGGACTTGGAACATTTCCATCCCATTCCTCCAAAAGAAACCATATCCAGCAGTTAGTTCTGACTCTTTCATACCGCTGCTCTCTGGCAGTCCCTGCTTTACCACTGACCCGTCTCTACTGACCTACCTCCTCTGTGTCTGTCATGTAAATGGAGCCATATTCCACATGGCCCTTGTGTCTGCCTTCTCTCACTTGGCAGTGTTACCCCAGTTATAGCATGCGTCAGTATTTCTTCTCTTTTTATGGCTGAGCAATAGTCCTTTGTGTGGATATACATTTTGTGTTTCCATTTTTTTTTTTTTTGTCGGCCATGGGGCTTGAACTCTGGGCTTGGGCGCTGTCCCTCAGCTCTTCAGCTCAAGGCTAGCACTCTACCGCTTGAGCCACAGTACCACTTCCAGTTTTCTAGTGGTTTATTGGAGATGAAAGTCTCTGAGTTTCCTGACCGGGCTGGCTTTGAACTGTGGTCCTCAGATCTCAGCCTCCTGACTAGCTAGGATTACAGGCGTGAGCCACTGGCGCCTGGCCTGTGTTTCCATTCTCTAGCTGAAGGGTTGTTGTTTTTGATGATTCCAAATGTGTTATTTGTATCCTCCTGGTTAAATTTTAAGTATTTTTAATGGTTAATAATTGCACTTTTACTCTGAGGGAAGGGATGACACTGTCCAAAAAGAAATGTACTCTTTTCCTGACTTATGTAATTGTCACCCTCTGTACATCACCTTATAGTAACAATAAATTTGTTAAAATATTCCTTAAAAAGTGGAATTGTACTTTTATAAATACATGATTCCAACTTTTAAAAAGCTCAAATTGTACCTTGCTCATGTAAACTGTAACCCCTTCGTACAGTATCTTTACAATAAAAAATATATTTAAAAAAAAAAAAAACTCAAGTTGTCATTTTTTTTTCTTTGGGGGTCCAGTCGTGGGGCCTGAACTCTGGGCCTGGGCGCTGTCCCTCAGCTCTTCAGCTCAAGGCTAGCGCTCTACCACTTGAGCCACAGTGCCACTTCTGGCTTTTTTCTTTTTGCTTATGTGGTGCTGAGGAATCGAACCCAGGGCCTCAGGCATGCAAGGCAAGCGCTCTACCACTGAGCCACCTTCCCAGCCCATCAAGTTGTCATTTTCCTAGAGGAAGAAAAATAAAAAGCACTTCACTGAAAACCTTGTAGGCTACTGCACTTTTCCCCCTCAGCCCGTTAGTACCCATAGCTTGGGGTGGTAATGACCACACAAATCTGAGACAGACATCCTCCTGCCTGAGGGATAAGGGATGCGCTGGAAGAGCTGACACCCAGACAGACACAGGGAGGAGGCTTACCTTCCCACGGAGAGAAAAGCAAGCATGCTATTCACAGAGGGAACAATGGGGAAAGCAGGGGCTGCAATGGGCTGAGATGGAAGAGCAGCACAGGAAGGAAAATGGAGGGTGGGCCTCCACAGAAGAACCTCAACACCTGGGAGATGGCTGCCGGAGTCCGGAGCTTGCATGCCTGACGAGCCCCTTGGCACTGACCTTGAACTGGGCTTCAGGTGGTCCGGTGATGATGACCATCCTTTCGCTGGCATCTGGGCCTTCTGCTGGGGCAATCTGCAGTTCACAGGGAAGAAGAAAAGGCTGATGCTCAGCCCCTCCTGCCTGCCGAAGCAGTGGCCGCACGCTGGCATTGTGGAGATTGCAGGGTTCTGCATGTGCACTTGGGGCTTGTTCTGACAACGTGCCATCTCCACTCGGGGTCTCAGGAAGTCACTCTCTTCGGGAAGGCCCAGTCTGGTTCTAATTCTCAGCTCAGAAGGCAGTCATCTCTGAGTGCCACTGAGTCAGAGCAAGTGTTCTAGCTCGTCACGGCCTCTGGGCAAAGGAGGAGGAGGACATCTTGGTTCCAGTTCTGGCTGGACCAACCTCCCCGCTGTGAAAGCTGGAGGATGCGGCTGGCAAGCTGCGAGCTCCTGCTGACCCCTCACTTCCCCTCATCCTGAGTTCTTCTCTAGCACAGACATGGAAACAGCAAGAATTTTTTGTTGGAGATCCTGATCCTCATTACCTATTTGTTTCTGCATATCTTGCCTTATTCCAAAACAACCACCACCGAAAAATCCTATCAAGTAGCTTAAAAAATACAAAATTAAGTGGGCACCTAAAGTCCCAGCTACTCAGAAGGTCCAGGCAAGATCATCCACGCCCAGGAGTTCAAGGTCCATTCTGGCAACATAGAAAGACCCTATCTCAAAAGCAAAACAAGACGAAACACAAAACTCAATCAGCAAACCATAGGAAAATTAAACTTACAACAATGATTTAAAAGTATGCTAAGCTTGAGGAATGTAAAGGTCAGAGAGGGCTATGCACAAGATGAGCAAGGAGACATGAAGCCTCACAGGCTTCAGACACCTGCCGTGGCGAACAGACTGCATTCTAAGCTTTCTGAGAGTAAGTACGAAGGAGGAAACCGTCAGTTATGGGTCACGTGTCTGATAGCGGAGACTCGGGAAAGAGCTTTCCTGGAAGGGAATGACCTTCACCACCTGTGCTGCTTTCTGCATTGGGTAGTCTCTGAACCAGAGGCTCAGCCTCTGCTCAGCGCTGCCTCCACACATGTCACTGTTTCTCTCTGCATGCTCTTAGTCGCCCTGGGGTCTCAAATCCAGGGGTATTGCCTTGTTCTCTTGTCTTGACCCTTTTGCTGCTCTGGAAGAAGGGACCTCTTTCCCCAAACTTGGCCTTGGTGACTGTGACATGAAGATGAATGTGAGGCCCAAGTGACTGACCACAGAGCTTCCTGAGGGCGATGGGCAGCCAGTTCTTCGCCGTGGCCTCTGCATTCACTAGATGGAGGCTGAGGGTCAGAGCACCGGGCCAGGCCTGAGCCTAAAGGTGGGAGTTGCTCCAATACATCACAATCTGCAGCTGCCATTCAACCTGGTCCTTATCTCAAAGAGACTGGGTCATGGGAAAAACGGTTTCCTATCGCCGCCCAACCGAGGAAGGCTGGAGGCAGGTTCAGATTTGTGATGACCCATCTGTTTTGTGGTCACTCGTGGTGACTCAGAGCTGCTTTACCCCAATTCTCATCCCAACTCCTGATGGCTCTACTGCCCAGCATTTGCTGCGAGCTGTGCTGTCCACCTGCTTTCTGGAAGGGCATTTTTGTCCCGGCAGGGGCACAAATAAAGGCCCTTTCTATACTCAAAATAAATGGGACTCTGGGAGACGAGGTGACTGCCGAGCGCACAGGAAAGCAGGCGCTGAGGATTCGGAAGTGGATGTTGATTACATTTTGTGAGGCACTCAGAACCTATCAGCTCTGTAGGAAAGGCAGATGATGGGCAGCCCACTGCGACTCCTACTGAACGTATAGTGTAAGTGAGCCCTGGCAGGGCTCTAGGGACATCTTGCTCTAGAGGCAAATATTTCACATCACAGCACTGAACATGGAAAATGATCTTCTTCATCCTGCCCAGGGGGCAGGAGCACCCAGGCAGGAATCTAATCAGCAGAAGCCACTGGGCACAGAGGCCCTCATACACACCATCACGGCCTCACACACCTGAAGACTGGCATCCAGCCTGGGCCTGGCTTCTACCTGCAGATGCCATAAATGAGGCCTCAAAAAAGAGAGGATTTAGAAAGATTTTTTTTTTCCCACAGTCTCACTGTAATCCTTCTGTACTACTCAAAATAGTTGTTTTTTTTGTTTTGTTTTGTTTTGCTCCAGCATACTTGCTGTGGGAGAAATTGTGGCTATTCTTGGGGAGAATGTGTAAGCATTCTTTCTCTCCAAGTCATGGGACTTCTCGCTTGGAATTCCGGGTTGTCTCAGGGTAGGGAATTATTTTCTGTAATAATGGAAACTGTGTTTCTGCGCGTGTTTCACGAGGCTTGGGATGTGTGCAGCATTCTGCCTGTGAGTCAGCGCTGATATAGCTGGGCTGGGTGGAAGACGGGTGAATAATGCTTCTTTATCAGCTCCTCGGACCATCTGGGAAGGCAGGCTTGGCGGCCACCACCACACATTAGTGGCCTGAGCCTCTCTGTTCGCTCCCAGCATGTCGTCATCAGCTTGGTTATCAATTATGATTTATCACTGTCCTTCAGAATTTTTCAAGTTATTTTCTCACAGTTTAAAGGTTGGTTTTTTTTTTAACAAAAATTAGTGGCACTTGAATTCAGTGCCTGGGTGTTGTCTTTTAGTTTTGCTCAAGGCTGATGCTCTACTACTTGAGCTATCTACACCCACCTCTGGCTTTTTGCTGGTTAGCTGGAGATAAGAGCTGGTTCAAATGGCAATCTGCAGTCTCAGCCTCCTAAGTAGCTAGGAATTCAGGTGTGAGCTGCCAGCATCTGACTCAAACTTTTTTAAAAAAAAATAGGCACTAATGGAAATATCAAAGTGCGAAATCCAATTTTTTTCTCTTCCTCCTCCTCTCGGTGGTACTGGGGTTTGAACCCAGGGCTCTGTGTTTGCTAGGCAAGTATTCTACCACTTGAGCTACATTTCCGGCTCCTTTTCGCTTTAGTTATTTTTCACAAAGCGTCTAGTGTTTATGAACCACAATCCCACTATTTTAGCTTCCCACATAGCTAGTATAACAAGCATGTGCCACTGTGCCCAGTGTTTTATTAGGTGAGATTGAGTCTCACAGATTTCTTTGCCTGGATTAGCCTCAAAACACAATCCTGCCTATGTCAGCCTCTGGAGGAGCCAGGATGAACAGGTTATCAGCCAAAGGCACCTAGCTTGCTGTATCTTCTTGAAAAGAGAGAATAAAGGTGAATTCAAAGAGGGACACGATGTTCTGGTACTTTTTTTTTTTTTTTTGCTTTCTAATTCTGTTGTTAGTTGAACAGAAAAATGAGTGGAAAAATGAGAGCAGCTGGGCATGAAGTCTTAGAAACAAATGTTGCAAGTGACCCGTGAGATTCTGTGTGCAGACAGTGTGGGAGCTGTCCTGGACGGGCAGGAGGAGGGAGGACATGAAGGGCTGAGAGGAACAACCTTACCTTGATGGAGGCGCCAGCGAATCGAGCCAACTGTTTGATGTGTGCCCCTTTCTTCCCAATGATGGCCCCCACAGCCTGGGTTGGGATAAAGAGGTTCACGACCTCCTGTTCTGGATACTGGAAGGACGAGACAAGATAAAAGGTGTCATTCCATCCATACGCCACTGCAGTCCTCAACAGCTACCCAGCACTGCCGTGAACCTCAAGGCGGAAGCCCCCTCCCACCCAAGGAATTGGCCAAAATGGTGCATGAGATTCTTCTGTGGCCCAAAGCTCTGTGGGTGTGAAGGTATGGGATAAAGTAGAATCTAGACAGGACTACAGGAAAGCCATGGGCAAACTCTTCCTGAGCACCTCAGTGCTGACCACCAACAGCTGTTGGTCTAAGATTTCCCCAAATACATAGATCTGATAAAGATTTCTCCTGTCTTCACTTCAGAAATCAACACAGTGACTAAACACATTGGCCTGAAGCTGGGGCCTGCGGCATTTCTGCGGGACGGAACAGAAGGCTGCTCAGCCCTCTGTGAAGCCAGGGTCAGTGTTTCTACAAGGCAACAGAACCTGCCTTTTGCAGGTTCTGTGGTAGTTACCCAAGGAGACAGGCAAACCACCTCACGAGCAAACCCTGTGAGGGCTCCTGGGCAAGACTGCCGAAGGTTTTTTCCTCATCGTCTATGAGAACAGTGTGACATCATTTGCTAGACTTCAATTGAGTATCACTAGAAACAGTTGAGCAGCAATGCCTCCTAATTAACCTCTCCCCACCCCCACCAGCTTCCAGTATTGGGGTTTGAACTCCTGGCTTTGGGCTCTCACTTGCTTTTTGTTGTTGTTGTTGTTATTCATGGCTAGTGCTCTACTACTTGAGCCATACCTCAAGTCTAACATTTTGCTGGTTAGTTGGAGATGCCCAGGCTGGCTTTGAACCCCCATCCTCAGATCTCAGTTTCCTGGATAGCTAGGTGTGGGCCACGAGCACGTGATTCGAACTAGTCTATGCTGGTCTGGCAGCCGGGGCCATGTGGAACACTAGCAGTAGAGAGGTAGCTGCAGAACATCGAGCCTCTGGCCAGAGATGTGTCACCTCTGCATGGCCTAGACACACAGCAGGTAGTTTTCAAACTGCCAACTGGCATCGCCAAGCCAAAAGGAACGAAGGGAGTCAGACCAGGAGCAGGAGGAGGAGTGGTAGCCGATACTTACAGAGTGATGATGCGGGAACGGGCTGAACTGGTGATGAGGATACAGGCTGGAGAAGTAGCCCGAGTGCGTCTACAGCAGGAAGAGAACAATCATTCAGTGAGTGGATGTCCCGGGGTGGGGGTGGGGGACCAGTTCTTGTCCCTGTTTAGGCAAGATTCTTCCATACCTGTCCCTTTGTGCCTCTAATCTCTGCTCCGTGTCCTCCCCCCTCCCCCCATCACTCCACTCAACATTCATGACGGCGGCCTTCTAATCTTAACCTTGCTTCTGGCTCCCTAGTTTGCACAAAAGTTGCCACTCGCCCACGCCCACTCCCAAACACACTGTCTAACTTGCCTTTGGGTAGAGACAGGGTTACTGGCTTCTATTTTCTGGGGAGCTCTAGTCACCAACTGCAAGAACAGTACTAGGACAATATCCAAGAGGTATTCAGAACAAGCAAATATGCTCCTGGAAAGGCAGGCAGTCAGGTGCAGCAGAAATTTTCAGAAGGAATAGAGAGATTGAGAATGGGGAAATTAAAGAGAGATTGAGAAAAAAAAATTAAAAGATGGATCAATAAATATATGTAAACATGGGGAAAGGAAGGTCAGATATGAACAGAAAAAAAAGTAGGGTTATAGGAAAATTAAAAAGTAGCTGCTTTTAAATTAAATACTACCATATACCAATCACTATGATAGGTATTTTCTGCCTATGAACTGCTTAAAGGCTTGTAATAGTCCTGCAGAATAGTATGCACATGCTTGGTTTTATACAGCCTCTGTGTGTGTGAGACACTGGGATTCTGAACTCAGGGGTTCCAACTTGCTAAGCAGTAACTCTTACTACCAAGCCATGC